CATCCTTGTGTCCAGGCCATGGTGTCATTCCTCAGTCTCTGCACTGGGACCCCACCCTCTTCCTGAAAAGTTATTTGAACTGTTACTTAAATCTCTGGCTGCCAATCAATTTTCTGCATTTACTACGGTCCCGGGTTATCTCCCCCTCGGGCTGTCTGACTCATCCCGGGAAGCTGTGTTACAAGCCTGTGGTGATAGATAGGGGAGGGCGGCACACAATCACTCTTGTCTGTAGATGCGAATTCTGTCCTGCCAGGTGGAGGTTCGTTCACTTCTCTCCCTCCCCCACGCTGCCCCCCAAGGTCCAAATCTGCCTCCCTCTCACGTCGTTTCCGGATTCCTGACCATAAACACCTGCCCTTCGGATTCTCTTTCCAACCAGCGATCACGTCGGCCAGGTTCCCTCCGGAGTCAAATAAAATCTTTAGCGCGTGTTCATGTTTACATCAGAAGACAGGCCTGCGTTATCCCTCCTGGAACGATCCTTTAATGTGCCTTCTCGCTGGGCGCCAGCCCTCGGCCAGGAGCAGGCACTGAATGAGAGGCATTTTCCTTTTCTTTTTTGGTTAATCCTCACCCGAGGATATTTTTCCATTGGTTTTTAGGGAGAGTGGAAGAGAGAGGGAAAGATGGAGAGAAACACATCGATTGGTTGCCTCCTGCACGAGCCCTGACCAGGACCCGGGCCGGGGAGGAGCCTGTTGCAACCAAGGTACGTGCCCTTGACCGGAATCGAACCTGGGACCCTTTGGTCTGCAGGCCGACACTCAACCACTGAGCCACACTGGCCAGGGCGGGGGAGTCATGACTGTCCCGCCTCATCCTCCGCCTGAGTCCACACCTGGGCTCCTGCCCCTCTGGCCGCAGGCCCTTCCAGCTGAGCCGCCCCAGGAGCCTCCCGGGATGGGGACTGGAGGGCATGTGACGCGGCTCCAGCTCCGGCGGAGATGTGGGCCACGCGGATGCCATGCAACCGAGACTTCAACTCGCCGACTGTTCTATTTATACTTCACAGCAAATGGTTTGTTGCTATAAAAATACATTTGCACATTCCACAAACAACCCCTCAGAGCAATTATCAAAACGCTGTTGCTACAAATTAACGCCTACTCACCTTGGGCAAATTAGCACCAAATTTCATCCGCGTGGCGGGTGGATGCGCAGGGCATGGAGGAAGAGCTCGCTACGGCATACGGCATCCGGCAATCCGCACGCCCGCCTCTGGTCTGGGAGCGGGTGGGTGCCCCCACCATCCGGGCCTAAGCCTGTATATCCAGGCAGAGCCCTGAGGCGCCTGGAGGAAGGGCTGGAGCAGGGTCACACCTGCGGCAGGCAATGCAGACCCAGGTGGGAGGGGAGGGGATTCTTGCTCTGGGATGAGAAGGGGGTCCCCACTGAGGTGGGAATCCAGGGGCTCCTGGGAGAGGCGTTTTCACCGCTGTCGCAGCTGTTGACGATGGACTGACACGGACCCCACTGCCCGCTCTTCCTCGCCAACACCGCTGGGGCCTGACGCTGGCGAGAAGGCAGGCAGGTGCCAGGCAGCGGGGCCGGCAGCCACGGGCATTTGGGCAGGACACTGGGGGAGACACCGAGGCCGCAGCAGCCAGGTGACCTGCTACGTGACCTTGTCAGAGGCCTGCCCCCCCGGTCCCAGGGACCCTGGGCGCTGAGAGGGGGCGAGGGGTCTGCTGGGCCACCCGCCCTCCTGTGGCTCTCGCAGGCACCAAGGCCAAGACTCGGCTCTCCCCGGCCTCGCCCTGCCCGGGGCTCCCAGGGCTCATCCAGGTGTGCATTCCCCGCATAGGCCCTGCTGCCGGCGCAGGCCCAGCCCACCTCCCAGAGCCACCTGATCCCCAAGAGTCACCCTATCTTCCTCTTCAAAGGTTTGTGGGGAGCCAAGTGAGACGATCAGCACTCGGCTTCTTCCCAGGCCGCAGGGATGAGGGCACTCAGGCCCGTGCGGCACCAGGAAAGGTTCCCAGGGGCTTCTGGGAAAGCAGGGCCCTGTGTCAACAGAGGCCTCGGGAGCAGTCTGCTGTGTATGAAGGTGAAGCCTGGAAAGGCTGCAAGTAACTCACTGCCCCTGAAGATCCAGAGGCCCACAAAAAGCCCTGATCAAGCCGTACCTGATCTCCATACCATTTCAGCTACATGGACAGTATAGCTCAGAGTTGGGTCTTTTGTTCATTACATTCAAAAGTGTCCCGTTGCCCCGGGAGCCTCACCCACCCCAGGCTGGGAGAGGGGCTTCCTCGGGGCGCCAGCAGCCCTCAGCTCCATCACAGCCTTCCTCAGCCTGTACCCGGCGTCTGTGTGTCCTTCCTGACCTATCACCGTGTGCTCCCTGGGAGCCGGGAACATTTCTGACTCACGCCCGAGTCTCAGCCCTCACCCAGGCCAGGGACGTGAACAGGAGCCCAGGGGAGGGGGCCTGTGGGATGAGAGACAGGCAGGTGACAGCGCCCAGCACTCGAGGCCTCCAGGCCAGGCCTCCCCAGCGTTCCCAGGTCACTCTCACTGCCCGCCTCCCTCCCTCCGTTCTCTGCCATTGCGGGCTGCTCCCTCCCGGGAGTGGACATGGTGGGGCCTCTGCCATAACCTCCATCATCCATGCCAGGTGGGGGACGCCCAGCCCCCTCCTCTCCCGCCTAAGGGACGCTAATTCTCATGCTCTCCACCCCCAAACTCAGACCTCAGAGCAGACTTCTCTCCCAGCTCTGGACTCGAATATCCCAGCCGCCTACTCCACACCTCCCATGGCACCTGAGTTCCAACAGCTTCCTGCTCTTAGAATAAAATCGAAACCCCTACCAACCCCCGAGACTCCCTGTAGCCTGGCTCTGCCGCCCTCTGGATCTCATCTCACACCACCTCAGCTCCCCCATGCTCTCTGCTCCAGCCACCCAGGCCTCTGGCGCTCCTCCGACCCGCCAGGCTGTTCTGCCTCCGGGCCTTTGCACATGCTGTCCCCGCTCCCTGCGACAGGGGCTTCTGGCTTCTGCAGGCAGGAAGTGATCCATACATGGTTTCTATCATCATTGGCTCAAGTGCAATTCAGTTATTCGGTCGGATTCAAATCTACTCACCTGCCTCCTTGGAAATTGGTGTGGGTTAGAGGAACGTGGTGAGATACGCTCCCTCTAAGAAACCTACTCTCGGCCTTCGGATGCCTCTTCCAGAAAGATCGGGTTACAGGTCAGCCAGGTCACAGGCTTTCCCTCAACTCGGCCAGAGAGAGAAGCGCCCCGGGTCCCAGGGGGAGGTCAGGCCACTCTGCACCTCCCAGACCAGGGCCCTGGGTCCCATCTCCTCTGCGCCCCCGGGAGGCCCACGCTGACCTCTGTGAGCAGGTGGGGGTCTGGGGTGAGCGGTGGGAGTGGGAAAGCAGGTGGGGGAGCTGGTGGTGGCCCCACCACCTGGAGCTGTCCTGTGGGTGACAATGTACCGGCTCCCTGCCCGCCAGTGTCTCCTTTGCTTGTTTTAAGGGGACGCCTCCCCAGAAGGTTCCGGACTCCTGACCTGCCAAACCAGTTCCCTCTAATGGACAGTCACCAGTTCCAACTGAAAGTGAACTCCTGGCTGCCCGGCTCTGGCCGGGGTCACCGGAGAGAGAGCTGCTGGCCCTCAGCCTGGGCGGGAACAGGCGCCCGCAAGTTCATTCCGCACACACTCCCGGAGCTCTTCTCCCGCCACGGGGGCGGGACTGGCACTAGGAAGTGCAAACACACACAAAGGTGCCGCGCCCTGTGCCGGGCCCTGTGCACGAATTAATGACTTGATTCTCCCAGTAACCCTAGGAAAAGGCAGCAACGCCCGGCCCCGGCCAGCGAGGCCCAGTGGTTGAGCATTGACCGATGAACCAAAAGGTCACAGTTGGATTCCCGGTCAGGGCACATGTCCGGTTGCCGGCTGGATCCCCAGTGGGGGGCGTGCAGGAGGCAGCTGATCAATGACGCTCTCATCATTGATGTTTCTCTCTCTCTCTCCCTCTCCCTTCCTCTCTGGAGAGGAATCTGTTCCTCCGTTAACATATATACACGTACGTTAAGATTGTCCGTACTTTACAGGTGGGGAAATCAAGGCACAGAATGGCTAGCAACTCAAGGTCAAGGGCCAGCTGTTGGCCACGGCACGTGGACACTGTTCCCTCTGAGCCGCAGGACAGCCTGCCGAGTATGACACCCACGTGAGAGGCGAGGAAACGGGCGGAGAAGTGACTTGGGGAGTCCTCAGCCAGGACCCCGCCTTCCAGGGGCCCAGAAGCCTGGCCCGGGGCCAGAGCCCCAGGAGCCGCACAGTAAGGGCTCTGGGGCCGGACTCGGGACAGCGAGCCACCCGCAAGCCCCGCACACACAGAGTCTTTGAGGCTGTCCCCACCCCACAGTGCCTGGCCCTGAGGGGGCCCCGCCAATGCACCCAGGAGGCCCAGGCGCCTCGGATGCCTGTGACACATCCTCCTCGGGTACCAACCCTCCTCAGCGGGTTGAGGGAAAAGTAGTTTAGCTGAAAAGAAACGGAAAGCATCACTTTCATTCCCCCATCTCGTTTCACGCGGTCTGAAGGGCAGTCACTGGCAGGCTCCAGTGTGTCCACCGAAGGCGACCTCGTGCCCTGGGGAGAGGCAGTGCCCGGAGGGGAAGGTGCGGACTCTGCAGCCACAGCTGCTACCAAGGCCCGGCTCTCCACACACTGGCCCTGGGACCTCGGACAGTCACTGAACCCTCCCTGCCTCGGTTTCCTCACCTGTAAAAGGGGACAGTGACTGTCCCTGCCTCCTGAGGCTGTGGTGAGGGAGGAAGGAGGCCATCGCGCATGCTGTGAGGGCTTGACAGCCCAGCGACGGTGACCATTCGGGAAGGACGGCCGAAAGGGTCACGTTATGGGTCAGGAGGCTGAGTCCCCGAGAGGGAAGGTCACCTGCTCACACACAGTTCTCTGACTCCTCCTGCTGCCTCTGTGCCTCAGTTTCCCCATCAGTGAAAGTGGGTACAAACAGGGAATGGGATGGGTTTTAAATGTGGTGAGAGACGTGCACCGGGCACCTCTGGGTGGCTGAGCCCTTGCTATCTGTCCTCTCTCTGACCGAGCCACTGAGCCACGGGTGACGGCGTGCCCAGGACCGACGCGGCTTGTTGGGGAGCTGCCATACGTCCATGGGGTCTCTAGTGAAATTGGTTCCCAGATGGTAAAAGATCTCAATGAGGTCAGATCTGAATGACTTAAGGACATTATCCAAGTCAGCTGCTACCAGCTCCACTGTCAGCTCCTCCACAGGCATCTCCACCCCCTTACATGTGAGTTCCCTCCAGTCTTTGTGTGACCCAAAGCACCATACCCTTCCCTGCCTATCTCCTGTCCATCTTCCCCCTCAATGGTCGCCTCCTCCAGGAAGCCCTCCTTGACCACTCAGGTGCCCCTGGCTTCTCTCTGTCACACAGAGAGCAGACTCTGGGTCCCTGTGAACAGGGCCCAAGGAGGTGGCTGTCCACAGGGCCAGCTGGGCCCCGGCCAGCGCCCTGTGTCCCTTTCCACCCCCCACTACTCCCCCTCCCCCATGCTGGCTTGAGGAATGGTTTGTCACCACATTCAGGGAGGAACTCACAAACAAGATTCTAAAACTGCCAGCGGAGACCATCCGAAGATGTTTACTGCTGAGTCCTAAGTTTTGAGTTCTCACCTGGACAAACGCAGCACTGCCCTCCACAGCCTTCTCTGGAATCAACACGGCCCCCAAGTCTGCGGCCCTGTGCCCCACTCTCTCCCTCCCCACCTGACGGACGAGGACGCACAG